TGGAAAAAAAAGTGCAAAATAAATAAATAATAGTAATAGCATTTTAAAGTGAAAAAATTTAAATGATTATCTTAATTATTCAGTCTTACTTAAATTGTTGCTAGATTTTTAATATTTATTTTTTAAAATTGACTCTTTGACAACAAATTAAATCGTATATTAATAACTTTATTAAATTTGTTCTTCCTCACTTAAAAAGATTTCTTACTTAATACATTAATAGACTTTTTATGTAATAATAAAATAAATAAATAAATATTAATAACAAAATTTTACCGTGAATAGCCAAACTTCATGACTATTTACACGTTATTATACAGAATCCTTCTTACTTAAAAAAAAAAAAAAAAAAAACTCTGAACACGTGCATATCTCCATTTGCGCAAATTTATTTTCTACTTAGTAGATAAACACGTCAACATAAATAAATATTTGAAATTGTCAGTAGATTCCATCAAATACAACTTGGATTAAAGTTTTAAAAAAATTACATTTTTATTAAAATGTATAACTCATATATCTCCCAATTTTATTTATGAAATTAAAATTAATTCTACTCGCCTTTAAATGAAATAAACAGTAAAAAAAATGTGTATAAACTTTCAATCGACTGAGAATAAAAAATATATCATTATCATATAATTTACTTGAAAAATAATTCATTACTATCATTAAATTTTGATTAAAAATTAATTTTACATTGCAACAACTTAAGAATAATTTATCACTATCATTAAATTTTAATTAAAAATTAATTTTATGTTACGAAAATGTCGGAAATAACTAATCATTAGCATTAAATTTTAGTTAAAAATTAATTTTACGTTACGACAAAAAAAAAATAACGAACTTTAATAAGTTTGTTTTATTTATTTATTATTGTCGCTTTCTAAAATCAATAAATATTTTTTTTTACAATTTTACTTTATTATTTAGTAGTTATTTGGTAAAGATAATTAATATTTAAAATTATTAATATATTAAATAAATAATATAAAAAAGACTAATATTATATTTTTTATTAAATTTAAAATGCTCATAAATTTTAAATTTGTGTATAAAACTTTAAGGGTTCATTTAGTTGCCAGGATATGATGACATTGGCAAGATAGAATAATTTATTTTAATAAAAAAATAGTAACACACTGTTTAATACACTTTTTATTATTGATTAAAATTTATTGAAAACTAAAGAAAATTTGAGAGAGAATTATGAATGCATAAATGAGAAAAAAATGAGAATCAAATAATTTTTAATAAATTTTAACTAATAATAAAGATTGTGCTCCAAAAAGTATGTTAAGTAGTATGTTATTAGCGTTACTCTTTAATCATGTTTAATTTTTAGTTTTTTTTTTGAATAATTTTTTGAATAACATAACATGATAGCTTACCTTATTAAGTTATTTTATCCTATTCTCATAATTTAAATTCTTATTTTTGAAAGGATGATAAGTTAAAACCCATCGTGACATATTAATTTTTTTTATTATACTTTTACTAATATTTTATATATATTTTTAACATTTTATAGACAAAAATATTTATAAAATATATATTTACTCATTTTATTAAATATAATTTAAAATTTTTGTTTTAATTATAACTTTTTATATAAAAAAATTTGATTAAATTTGGGGAAAATTATTATAATTTAATATCATACATGTATAAGAATATTTTAAAAAAAATTGATAAAAGAATACTTTTTTTATTTAAGCATAATTTATATCTTGCTCCTATTTATTTCAAACATTAAATAAGATGACATAATGTTATCTTTTTTATTACCCTAATGTACATTAAACATAAGATAAAAGTTTATTATTACTTTTTTAAATGTTATCTTTATTCAATTCTTATATCCTATCATTTCTTATGCTATTATTTAAAAATTAATTATTCATTGATTTTAGCTTGCATAATGGTGTTATAACGACATTTAAAACTTATGACCAATGCACGGGCTGAAGTATCCTTCAGGCATCGTACTCCTTCCATTTTTGTTTTTTGACATGTAAAGTTGGGTTAATTAAGTATTTAATTTCTACAAAATTTGTACAATTTAAACTTAATTTTTATAATTTTTAACGAAAATATAATTTTACTTTTTCATAAACTAGAATTTTTAGTTTCTTGAACTGAAATTATCCATTAAATATAGCCAAGTATTAACTTTTAGTTGAGTTATATTAGGTAAAGAGACTAAAATCAATAGTTTGTGCAAATGTATAAATTATATTTTTACAAAAAATTTATAGAAACTAGTCCAAATTACACATTTTTTACAAGACCAAACACTTAATCAATCCTTTAAAGTTTTATGCAAAAAATATAAAAATAATTAACATTTTAAATTAAATAAAAATTATTATTTTAGTTCTTATTATATTATTTATTTATTATGTTACTTATTTCACATATTTATTATCTTTACCAAGAAAATATTAAAGTAAAATTACAAAAAATAATTAATCATTCATTGATTTTAAAAAATGACAATAATAAAATAAACAAAACAAACTTATTGATGTCTCAAAGGAAAAAAAGGTAAAATAATATTTTCTTCAATTCTTTTTATAAGAAATAAAAAACTAAATTACTAGAATAAGAAAAATAATTAAATTAGTTATATTTTTTATAAATATAAATTTTATTCAAAAAATACCTATAATATTAAAAGTTGTAGTACATATAATTATTGCTTCATAAACACACATTTAATAATAAAAGAAACCGTATAGAAAAAATTCAACAATTAATTTCAAATTTATCCTATGTTTCAACCCCCCCCCCCCCCCTCTCTATTTTGTTCTTTATAAAAAAAAGACCAGAGACGGTATTCACTAAGATGAGATAACATTAATTTTGAAAGTTAAAAATTTATTTATTTTCATGTTATCGTAACATAAATTAATTTTCAATCAAAATTTATCAATCATAATAAATTATTATCCAAATTCTCATAACGTAAAATCAATTTTTAACCAAAATCTATCAATAGTTTATTTTTTAAATAATAATAACTTAAACAATTTCTAACTAAAATCTAATGAGTGAAATTATTTCCCAAGTTATACAATAATGATAGATTTTTCAATTTTTTCATAATGGGTTGAAAATTTATAGTTACACTCTTTAATGTTTGTTTAATTAAAAAAAATTAAATTCATAAATATAATTAAAATAGACGTATAAATTAATCTAAACTACACATTTTAATAAAAATGTATTTTTTCATTAAAAAATGCAAGAATTAATTTTTTAACTTTAAACCAAATTGTGTTAAAGATCTGAGTAAACTTTTCTTTATATTAATAAATGGAAATCAAAATAGAAAGTCAACTATATTAAGTTGTTTCATACGGTGAGATGTCGATTATAAAGCAGCCAACTTAATACATTCAACCATTTATTAACATTTACATGTTAAACTGCCACATTAGAATAAAGTTACCAAAAAGGAGATGTATAGTGAGGATTTTTTTCAAGAAATATTTCATATAATTACATGTAAATAGTTAAATTAAATTATTAATATATAACTTTTGATAACTTTATCTTGACTATTCATAATAAAATTTGGTTATTAATATTTATTATTTTATTATCACATAAAAAAGGTCCATTTAAGTGAAAATGAGAAAAAACAATTTTTAACAAAGTTATCAAAATTCAATTCAATCTATTGTTAAGGAGTTCAGGCTGAAAAATAAACACTAAGAATCCAACAAGAACCTAGACAAGACTTAATAATTAAGATATTTATATAAATTTCTCCTTTGCAAAATGCTGATATTACTATTAAATTTATTTATTTTACTCCTTGGTCTAACATTTTTTACTTCATGTTAACTTCGTAATCTTTCTATTTTAATCACCACTAATATATGATTAGATTAGCTATAAAAAAATTCTAAATCAAAATTTGCCAACCAATCAAACTCTAGCTCAAAGGATGAAGAGAAGATTATTTTGTTCTTACCTCTATAAGATTAGTAGCATCCTCCTAGACGACTTTCTACGGCATCAAGTTGTTTTCAAAAGGCATAGGTAGGATGATAATTGATGACTTAGCATAGTGTAAAATCTAATCAATGATTTCAACATTTGTCTTGTAACCTAACTCACGGTTAAGTTATAAGATTCAAGTAGCACAAGTTGTCAATAAATGAACACGAAGACTTTTCTTGTTCACCTTAAAATGATGGTTATTATTGTCTTTGGAATCAAACCTTTTGATTTTCATGCCTAAAAGACCTTTCATTAAACAAGAATAATGACCCAACTCCATACAATTGTTATTACTAAACTCATTATATCCACAATACCTTACTCTCAATTGCAGCAAGTTTATATAAAAACGCTTATCTAAGAGAATCTTTACTACTTAGATGTATTATATTATATTACAAAGATAGGGATTTAATTTAATTATAGTATGTTTCTTTTGGAATTTTAAAATGAGAATTAATCAAGGTCAATGCATGAATAAAAAATCAAATTCTCAAAAATATTATTAATTAATAGATCTCTTTTAATAACTCTCTCTAAAACTTCTTGTAACTCCAATGAATATAATTAAGCCTGAGTATTTAATGTCACCCATCTGAAACTTGGTGTTTTAAAATTTTTAATCCAATGTTTAGTGTATTCAAAGAAGACTTGGAGGGTGCATCTTAGAAAGGTAACGGAATTATCAATACCAAATGTAAGAGTACAAGGCATGACAACAAGGTTGTAGCTACACCTAACACTAGTTCAAATTTTCAAACATTTTTAGTTGTTGACTCTATATGTCATGTAATATTAACAGGCTAAATCAATTCATCTCCTCATTATTCTCAATTTATTTATAAAATAATATTAATTAGAAAAAACTATCAACTAAGAGAGGGACATAAATTTTTTCCCATTAATTAATTAAGTTGTACTTGGAATGGAAATCATAATTAAACACATTGAGAAGAGATTTTTTTTCCTTTTAATTTTTCTTTGGTCTTTCACTATATCTCAAAAATTTTATTGACTAATCTTGTTTTTCATTTTCATTTCATGAAAAGGAGGGCAAAAAGTTCTTTTCATATAAAGAACTAATGCTCATTTGGATTACTCTAGAATTACTTCTAGATGACCAAAGTTTATTAAAATCAAAGATTCTCTTGTACAAAAAATTATTCTGAATCTTTATTTCACAGAACAAATGAACACAACAAAAGTAATGCTTACAACATTAATAACAAATTAGCACATACCTTGTAGCTCTCTTTGTGGCAATCGGCATACTTTGGGCCTCTAATTTGAGCCATATATATATGTGCTTGCAAAAAGAATTGATGATTATTTCCGTGTCAAGATCTGAGAACTGGGATGAGATGCAGCTAATGGAACACCATCCGTATTCTTATGATATTCAGCATTTCAGATTACTGGCAAAACAACACTCAGCAGTTCACCCAAATAATGTATAACGCTACTCATTTCACTGCTTTATTTTTCAACATTTCTTCATCACAGTTGTGTGGAAGAGTAAAATCTGGCACCTCCTCAATATCATCTGGAGGCTAATAACGGAGATATGCAATCAATATGGTCATCAAAACAAAAATAAGCTGAAAATGTCAAACACATGCTAGACCACTAGCCTACCTGCCATTGTTCCAATAGCTGCCATAACAAGAAACCAACAATCATAACCAAGCAAAACAGCTTGCCTGCCCAAGCTCCACAAAAGAGGTATCTAAAAGAACAGAGACTGTTAGCACTGGTAAAAGTATCACCTTGATTCATTACAACAAGTATGCTTTAATACTGAACTGGCATTAACCTTTAAATAAAGACGAAAATCTATAAATTATTACAATCAGATTCACATTCCTCCTATCTGAATCACTCTCCATATCAAAAGAATTGCCATGTTAGTAGGACTCTCAAGTGAAGTTCTCAACTTACATTTCTTTACCAAGTATCAACTAGCTTATGTTACAAACAGATTAAACGAAGATGCTCAAATAATTAACAAAATCACATAATTAAAACTGAATGGACAATGGACTTCCTATTACAACTATCAACTATGTGTTGCCATTACAACCAAATTGAACCTATGATGTTTAGAGTGTACCGTGAGAGACGTTCAAGTAGATTTTGATTGGAGCACTTCAAAGCACGATCATATACAATTTCAGTCCTTTGGGCAACATCATGCCAGTTGTAGAGTTCTTTCATCTACAGAAAATACATAAACAAAAAACTAATTTTCTCACTAAATGCATCAGAAAGACCATTTAAACTACAAACTCACTCGATTATGCATGACTTGAGGATCAATTTTGGGCAGCCTAAATATTGCCTTTTGAATTGCAAGCACCATTTCACTAGGATCAGGTTCTGCCAAAACAATCATATCATCTGGCAAAACCTATATAGCAATGAAGTGAATTGATATCAAGCCCTGAGGCATTCCAAAATTGTGGAATTGACAATAAATTCAGTAGTTAAGCTCATACACAAAATTCCACAAAACTATATAAAAGGTATATATTCTCGTACTAAACAGGTATAGGAAATTTGTAGCATCTACCTCAGGAACTCCTCCGACACGTGTGCTGACGGTTAACAATCCACAACTTGCAGCCTCTAATATGGCTATACAAAAAGCTTCCGTTAAGGAACTGAAACAGTGCAAACATTATTAATGAAGATTTGCGATCATGCAATGTAACTAGTTCAAAATTGGAGAGCCCTATCATTTCACAAAGAAAGAAACTCATGCATCTAGAATTGCTCAACTTCCAGAATTAGAAGACAACAGATTTATATATTCATTGTTGTAAAGGTTAAAGAGAGGATAGATTTGTTAAGGAACCCAAACCTGTTTAAGAAGATGTGCCCAGATATCAGCACGGATCGAACTTGTGCATGTTGCACAGCTCCCAACATTTCAACTCGATCTTGAAGAGAATGCCTTTCTCTCATCTCTTCCAACCGCACACGCTTGGGTCCCTCGCCGCCAATTATAAATCGAACCTTCAAATGGATAATTGGATATATAAGTTCTACCTTCGAAAGCCTACTATTACGGAAAAAAAAAAAAAGGAAAGCTAATCAAAATCACTCCTGTACAAAGCTTTACATATTTCATTTGGTGCTGGCATCCTGTATGAAGACATCTATAAAGTAATGACAATGTATGCCTAAAAGGGTCAAGACAGAGCTATCTGTCAAATAGATAAAAAGTTTACATCAAAGTACTGACACATACTTGAGGACTGCAACCAAATTTTATTTCAGCACTGATATTTAGATTAATATAACAGATTATAAAGAAAATTATTTTTGGTAAACATGTACAGAAAACTCACCCTAGAGCATTTTCAAAGGTTCAGTGCTGTGTACATTGACGAAAGTACCATACTATCTTCAAAAGATATATCTATATACTATCTGAATACAGCCCCAAGTAACTGTGCTAATTCATATATTTTTACCCTAATCTCTTGAAAGGGAAATTGGGGGGAGCCTAGATCCTTTTATGTCCATTTAAACATAAATTTTGAAATTAGATTATCTATCATGATGTTCAAGTTAGATGATAAAAATTCATTGATAACAAACAATTAGTGACAAAATGAACAAAAGTATTTTTTTGCTAACATTCCTGTGTGCCCTATGAAGTTCTTCATGAAAGTAGGACCATCTTCCACAGTAAAATCCTGAGTCATTTTTCCATATTTTCCATCAATTTTTCACAGGGAATTCTCCAATTATAATCAGAGAGCAACATGGAAAGAATTAATTAGGGAATGTTGTGGCTTTTTAAAAGCTTCAGATAATCAGTAGCAAGAGGTTGTTTCTTCTTCTTCTTCTTCTTATTATTATTATTATTATTATTTGGTGAATATTTGATAAAAGCTACTCTTAAGTGCTATCAAATAAGCAATTGCTAAAAATTCTTGTAAAACTTGAAGTATCTAAAACCACAAAAACAGATATAATTTAGTATATAGCACAAATTAGGAAATGATACAGCTAGAATATAAGAAAAGGCGCTGGTTCTTAAGAAATTGCATATATTTGATATGCCAACAGCAGCTTTGAAAAGCAGTCAGGCTTTCTCAAAAGCATCTACAATTTAAACAGAGCAACCAAAGAAACACTATAAGGAAATTTTATCAAACTAAAGTTTGCAACTTTAAGCACCATGATATAAAGCCAGAGCATTCTGAAAGGGCCCCTAGCTTATGCATTGTCTCCATGTAAGAAAGAACTCAAGTTTCAAATTTCCTAGTTATGCAAGACAAACTAACAATGTTTTCATAAACTCACATTGGGATGTAATCGGCATACTTCTGGAATGACTTCAACTAGCAAATCAACTCCCTTCCGATAAACCAATCGACTAATAACAACAACAACTATTTCCGATGGACTGGGACGATCCACTGCTGGCTTGAACATGGCAGTGTCAACAGCATTAGGTATTACAAAAACCTTCTCTGGTGGCAAACCTGACCGCAACACTGTGTTCTCCTTGCTTGTATGGGAAACACAAATGGCTTGACTAACATCTGCCAAGGTAAACTGCAAAACCTTGTTCATGTGGATGCTCCCAACATCAGCAAAACCATAAAGCGAATGATCCGTAAACACAACCTTATATCCCATGGTTCTTGCATGCATTAGAGCTTCATGACAAAATGTTGAAAATGCTTGATGTCCATGCACCACAGTAATTCTCTCTCGAATAAGAACAGTTCTTATAATTGGTAGTAATCCATAGAAGGTTGGTAATGTGTTCTGCATAACAAAAGGCCTCCATGGAACATAGTAGACTTTCAAACCACCAGTCATATACCTGACCCCAGATCGATTTCTGTAAGCATGCGTTGCAATCACCACCTGAATAGTCATTTTCTTTGAAATCACATCATTACAAACAACTTTGGCATAAGAAAGAAAAAAGGGTAAATTACTCTCCTTCCCCTGTACTTTATGTTTACTGCATAAACTTCCCATTCCCATCTATAATTAAATCCAAAATGCTATTGAACATGAATATCCAATAAGTTTGTTAACTACACCTTTATCTATTGTTATTGCTAGTTTGCCCTTGCGTGTCTAAAAAGGAAAAGACTGAATTCATTTTGGCATAGTTGAAAGTTGAATTCAGCTTCATCAAATGTGAGAGATATACAAGTAACTTAAACTCAAATTGAATAAATAAAAAAAAATATTGGCTGACCTTGTGGCCTAACTTGAGCAAGCATTGTGAGAGATAATATATATGATTCTCCACACCACCAAAGTTGGGATAGAAAAAATCTGAGACCATCAGGATTCTATGCTTTTGGGGATCACCCATTATTTCACCTCACACGTAGATGGCTGCAGAATAACAACAATAATAATAATGGTGATGATGATGATGAGAGGGAGAGAGAGAGAGAGAGATAGATCACACTATGCAGTTACCTTTCAATCTCACCAAGGCTGTGCAAACCCTAACACGATCAAGAATGGAGGAAATGATGGCAGAGGCACTTGCACACTGCTTGTGCTATCAATGTTCCTTTCTTTAGTATGCACTCAGTTTTATCTTGTGTAAATTTGTGTTATCATTTGTGGCGTTGAAGGCCATGAGTTGGTGCCTTGATCAAATATAACTTGAAGTAGCTAGTATCCCTCTTACTATATTTAATTTCGTCATTTGTAAATCTAACTATGTGTATTGAGTGCGATAACAGAATCCCTGCCAAAAAAGGAATTTGATAACTGAAATAAAATTTAAGAGTGGTGATTCACAGTCAAACACAAGTTCTACACATACATGTGGATGATTAGTCCCTACCTCCCTGGTTTATCCCTTGAACCACTCCATTCAAGACATGATTGTAATAATAATACTCATCTTCACCATCAATTGATCCATTCCAAAAACCTCTTCATGCCGTCAAACAGATCGCACGGATTACTAAAATCCTATAATCACAAATATTAACAGAATACCTGACAACAAAACAAAACTCCTTATTTCCACTTGCATTTTCAGAGGTAACTTAGCCCCATGTCCATTCCTGAACTTCTAAGCCCACCTCTCCATATATATCATGCATGCATATATTTTTCTCTTATTTCTTATTTCACTTTCATGTATGTGTGGTTCATAAAAGGATTCAAACAAGCACATGGAAAGTTACGATTATGGAATCCAAAATTAAACGTTCTATAGATAAAAGCAGGTTGAATTAAATTAGCACAAAGTCTTGGAACAATGATCATATACCTGCGAGCTGTGAGATCCAACGGAGATGGCCTTCGACTCAGAGCCAGAGTTGCTGTAGCAAGTTGTGAGCCGAGGCTAGGGTTCTAACTTCCCAGGTCCAAGCAATTCCAGGTCCAGGGAATTTTTAAGAAAAATTTAACTACAAAATTCGAGTAATAAATTATAAAAATAACGTTTTGATTTTTAAAATTACTAAATGTATTTTTTTTTTAATATCCAAAGTATAGGTGAGATAGGTTTTGAAGCTCTGCAAAAGTCACAATATATCAAAATCCGATCGAGACGAATATTTATAATCTCACTAATTTCGACAAAATAAATAAAGACGTTGCATATGTAAAATAGTTGTATGCATGATATGTATAAAATTCTGGTAAGTTTATAAATTTATTAAATCTTATATTTGGTCGTTTATTTTTCTCATTTGTATTTAGTCTTTCAACTTTAGTATGAGGAGTAAAGAAAATGTAAAGAAATACGAGAAAAAAATTCATTAAAATATTTATCAAAAATTAAAAGAACACATATTAACATATACTTTACATTTTAGAGGAGTTATAATTAAATATATGGTTGTTTTTAGTATAGAATTTCTGTCAAAATTTATGTTGTATCAGTGCAATTGGAAGTAAATCAACTAAGTTCATAGCAAGACTTATAAAAGTATTACCGATCTAATTTGAGCATCTTTACATGATATTTCTGAACAGAAAGTTCAATAATAATAATAGCATGACAAAGGGATTGTTTATATTTCATTTTAATAGTCAAAGAAAAATACTGCACCAAATAGTGATGATTCTAAAGTTTCTCTCGAAGTAAAATAGAGGTGTCTAATACATAATTCGTAAGGAGAACATCATTTTATAAAACCATTTAATCTGAATGCTACATTAAAAACATTTTTCAGAGGAAGGAGATGGATTAAGCATAAATTATTTAAAATCTGAATGTTACCCCATTTTGTGTTGGGAAAAAATAATCAGCATCGTCATAAGTATGAATACTTTCTTTGGATTAGTTTGATTTTATTTTTTTATCATGGATTAGTTTGATTTTGGGCCTTGTAGGTGATCTATTTACCCAAACCTCAACATGAACGGTTCAATAGCTTTGTTTTATAATTTTTGTTCAACGTGCAAATGCTTTCTGAAATTGACATCAGCAATAAGTATCGTATAATCTGGGCCTTTGCACCCTTTTTCCTCTCACAATACACCCAAAAAAAAAGTTTCCTTGTAAACTTAAAAGAAAACTATCTATTATTATAAAATTAATATTAATAATTTACCTAATTGAATAATTATTTTATATATTTAAAAAAACGTAAATTTGTATTTACAAATCTTAACAGGTGTTTGCTATAATATCTATAAATTTGAAATAATATTTTATATTTTAATAATTATATTTTTTTAATATCTTAAAGATTATATAATATTAACGTCTTTTTTAATTAAATAATTAATTTTATTATCTATTAATATAAAATTAATAATGAAAATAATTTCACGGACAATAGAATCAAATCTTCACAATTACAAGTTACATGAATTTTTACCTAAAATAATAAATCCGTCAAACGCTCAAGGGCAAATTCGACCAATTTTCCTTTTTAACATAAAAAATGCGTAAGATACGACTCAGTGACCTTTATGGCCTTGAATTCCGTCTATCATATAAGGAAGCCGTGCATGTGAATTTCGAAGTACTGAAAGCAGAGACAACTTTAAAAAAGAAAAGCAGAAAAGTTAAACCAACCAATAAAGAGAAGTTGAATAAAATTAAAAATCACAAACACGATTTAAGTAAAGAATACCCAGAAACTTCCTTGTTTTAATTACTGGAAATTGATTATAGCCCATTTTAATACTAAAATACAATTTTAACTTGAAAAAAAATTATTGAAAAAATACTGCTTGCGAAATAAATGAAACAGGCACAAAATGCTCTTCCTCAATGGGCAGTGGACAAGGAGCGCTTAAAAAACAAGGGGGGAATTGCGGCCCACCAGAACTTCAATTTAGAGCGATTAAAAAACTGAATTAACTGTTGATACTTGTTTTTTAGCAAAGTTAGTTGATGATTTTGTGTTATGATCTTTGTAATATGCTATCAAATGTCAACATCGATCTGTAATCATTTGATTGGGTTAGGGCATAGGACGGTCCCAATTTCGATTTGAAGATTCCATGATGGTCCATTCTTTAAACACACTGTCCCACATCGTCAGCGATGACCAGCACGTTCCGGACTGTGCATAGATGACACGGCACAGCACGGAGAAAACGTTTTCAATTTTAAATTCTCAGTAATATTACCTCAAAATTAAATGTTACTCCTTATCATAAATATTTATTAATTTAATTATTAAATCGTGTCATTTATTATAATAAAAATATACGCACATGTTATTAAATGAAAATAAATCATTAAATGAGAGATAAGTTTTAGGATTTTTTTTATATGGAATCTTTTTTACTTAATTATCATAATATGGACTTTAAAAAAATATATAAAAAATTTGAAAGATCGTAAGTGGCAAATTTTGAAAGTCAAAAAAAATAATTTTACTCTATAGTAAAAATTATCACTCGCAAGTTTAAAAAAAAAAAATTAAAAATTATCACTGGTGAATTTTTAAAAATGTTTTAAATTTTGTAGTAAAAATTGCTTAGAATAATTTTTAAAAAATAAAATCATCACTCATGTTTTAAAAAATTTCATTTTATATATAATAATTGTCATTTGTGATAAATTGTACCATAACCCTCATTCTCTCCTCTCTAAAACTTTCTATTGTATTTTTGTTGTTTGTGTTTTTTTTTTTTTTTGTGCAAATTTGACCATTTTATTGTAGTTGAAGAAAAAAATTAATAAAAATATAATGGTGTACTTTAATGGTGAAATTGTTACAAACATAAATGAAGGTGTGAGATTTACATGTGAGAAGTCAATTTGTATGCATATTCCTTATAATATATCATATAAAGCACTAAATAATGATTGTGTAAATATATTGAAGTGGAGACTTCGAAAATAGTAGAAAAGATAACATAGACGAAGATATTCAACAAATATTTCGGATAGTAAAACTTTTCTTGTTCAAGATGTAAACAACAATCAATAATTTAGAGTCTAACTCAAGCAAAGGTACTATGATTGTATTGTGATTGTAGTGACATCCAGACTAATACATATTCATGTCGTCGAGTCATTGATGTTTGCTCTAGTCAAAATATTGATTAGTGTTATTATGTCAATGATATTTATAAGATAAACGAGTTGTGCAAAGTATATAAAAAAGAGTTTGGAGTCATTGGAAATGAAAGTACATGGTAGATATATAAAGGCCCAAAACTTATTCCTAACCCAACTTTAAAGTGCACAGTAAGAGGTCGTCCAAAATCAACATGTTTTATGAATGAAATAGATAGGCATAAGATGAGAAGAATCTGACGTTGCACTCTTTGCCGAGGAGAAAGCCATAGTAGAATAACATGTTTAAATGCTACTGGGTCTAGTTCGCAATGTTGATGTTGTTGTTTTATGTAGTTTTAATTTATGTTGTTGTTGATAATGATTAAATTGTTATCGTCATGTAGAATGAAGTGGTCCTATTTAATTACAAATGTTAAGGGTTATTGCAATATTTGTTATATTTTAAAAGAGTATCTGCATTAAGAGATGATAAATTATATAATATTTAACTAACAAATAAAGCTCCCTTCATTAAATATTTTACTGACAAACAAAGTTGTATAATATAAATAACATTCCATGCTTAAACATAAAGATGATAATGAAAACAAAAATTAAACATAAACATTAAACAAACATCATTTTCCCTTTTTCTTCTTAATTAATGAGGAGCTATATTTACTATGCGCACGGGTGAAGGGACGTAAAATGCGCGAAAAAAAATCTCCTTCGTCTTCCTTCGGCAGGACTGTTATCCCTAACACGCTGATCAGCTATGGCCTCATGCGTAACTCCTTCATCAACTGTAAGTGCCGCTTGTACCACATTCTTAGGTGTATTTGTACATGTGTTGTTGTGCCATCTCCCAAGACATGATTGGCACAGAATACTGCTCTCTCAATGAAAATGTTTGTTAAGAAGTACCACCCCAACACCCTGATCAACTGTGGCCTCGTGTGTAACTCCCTCATCAACTATAGGTTTTGCTTGTACCACATTCTCAGGTGTATCTGTATATATATTGTTGTGGCATCTCCCAATACATGACTGGCACATAATACTACTCACCCAATGAAAATGTTTGCTAAGAAGTACCACCACATTCTTTTGTCATAAGTTCTGGTTGATAAACATCTTCATATCATTATTTTCTTCATCCATAATTGCGTCTTCATTAAGGTGAAAGTTACATGCAAGAATGACAAGAAAAAGGTTTGACATCCTCAATGAGAAAGTCATATGTAGAAAGTAACCCACGAGATGTCCCACTTTCACTGCTACAATCAATAGATCTCCTCCGACGTGATTCCTTGCCTGTTGACCTACGATGATTATCTCTTCTATCAACAAACATTCGTGAAGGTTGTTGTTGTTGGGATTCTTCATCCCATTCAAATGAGTACCATTGGTTTGTGTGTGGTGACCAATAAAAATACTCATTTGGTTGAACTGACAGAGGTGGAATCCCCTGTTGATGCTTGGACAGTGGTGGGGACATGAGCTTTTCATCCACCAAAAACTGTTGTTGTTGGGGTGGTGGTTGTTCCATTTTTTAAAATAACTATAACCAATTCATTGCATACAATGTGTACCAATTCCAATATTCATTGGACGTGTAATACTGGTCAATTGCCATTCTCTGTAATGTACACTAATATCGTTGTTCCCACATCATTACCTAATCATCATGTATCAACCTCCAGTCTTTTGGTTTTCTTAATCCATGTAAGTCTTTGTTGTGGACTTCGTAAAGACTTTGGGACAAGAGAGGAATAGGCTGAGCAAATCTATATTGCTGAATCACACAGTTAGTTGCATGTCACTCTACAACCTCAAATCATATCAACGGGCTTACAGTTGACCCTAACAAACGTTCTTCTCTTATATCATAT